AGGTGGATGAGCATTGCAGTTCTTTCTCATGGCCTAGATGTATCAAGCTGGAATCTTCCTTTTCTAATGTCCTAGTTTTGGGATTTATATGTTTTTAGGAGGAATTTTGTTAATTTTTATTTGTTTCATTTCTTAACTGCATTCTCCCCTTATTGAGCTCTGTGTTGATGGCAGTATGACATTGATGAGGGAAGACAGCTCGACTATATAATATACCTATTCTTTATTAGATCAATTTTATAAATATTTCTTAGCTGATATGAGAAGAAATTTATTATGTTTGTTTCAAGATCCTCCTCTCTTCACGCATGGACTATATGTTTCGAAATTCGCATGTCTAGGTTTTCCCGAATAAAGCATGTAACTTTAGACTTGATCCTGGATGAAGATGGTCTTTTTCTAATCTTACGAGATGAATCTTGAACTGTTTCTCCATGTATTGATAAGTTATACTTCCTTGGGAGAATTGCTATGACCTCTTTCCTGTCATTATTTTGATTCTTCCATTTGTTTTTCAAAATTTTCATATTTCTTCATTTGCACATTACTTTCATTATGCCTTTATTTGGGAATTCAGTTTCAGACCTGACAATCACCATACTTTCTGTTTGTTTTCGTGTAGGTTTTGGCCGACAGTGTTGACATTCCTTGCTGCCTAGTGAAAGGACTGGAATTTACTGGTTCTGATGATGTGGCAGTGAACTTAGTACAAGTTAATAATGGAAGGTTTGGTCAATTAGTTATACCCTAGTGCTATCAATTTAACTAGAGAGTTGATCTGTAATCCTCATTTTGTTTCCTTTTCCTTTTTCCCTTTTTAGGTAATTCCTGTGTGCTTCAACATTAACAAGCTACATACTCCTAGTAAATCTACATAATGAATAACCCAAATTTTTTTTACAGTTTTTACAGAAGATGCATCCCTTGACTCCAACTAGCAGCCAAAGTACAAGTGTGTGAAGACCTCTTTGGTTAAAAATGACTTTCTATGTACTGTACTAATTTAAAACTCCCGATATCTAATCCTGCAAATTTCATTTCAATATGACCAATCTTAGTCTAAAATAGCATCGAACATTCTCTACTTCTTACATTTATGCTGTCACAAATAGATTTCATTTACATTGCGTAGTTGACAAATGGATTCTTTAAGGATGTAATGACATGTTCTGCATTGCTTTTCTTTTTAAAAAGTAGATAATGTGGTTTCAGGGAATACATTGTTGATCTAATGGCGGACCCTGGCACACTTATTCCATCTGACGAAGCAGGATTGCATATAGATTGTGAAGAATTATGTCTTTCCAACAGTCCATTGTCTAAAGATGTGGAACCTTCTCGCATGGATTCATCGAGTAGCGGGATAACTAGTTCATTTGAAGACCAATCAGAGGTTGGAACACTGGAAAGGAGACCCAGTTTTAAAAAGACTATTGCCTTAAGAAATGAAACTATTGTCAGAGATGAATTTTCTTCTTCAGGGATTGCTGTAAAGCAGGTCAATTCTCAAGAAGGACCCAACCAATCTTCTGACAGTTCAAAATATCCTTGGAATGTGAAGAAGGAGCCAGCATGGGAGATTCCTGGTAGATCTAATCATCCTTATTCACATGCAAGATCTCCTTCCTGGACTGAAGGCGTTAGCTCTCCAGCTGTCCGCAGATTGAAAGTTAATGACGTTTCACAATACATGATTGATGCTGCCAAAGAAAACCCACATTTAGCTCAGAAGCTCCACGATGTTCTACTCGAAAGTGGTGTTATTGCTCCTCCAAACTTGTTCACTGAAATGTACCCAGATCAGTTAGATATGTCACTGGGGGAAACCAAATCCCCAGGGACAGAAAAGGAGAACCCAGGAAGTGATGAGATTCGAAAAATTAAAGGTCATAATAACCTAGATCCAGTTCGCTTCCTGCCTCCACTGCCTCATCAAGGTGCTTGTTCTAGAAGCCCGAATAAGCGACTGGAATGTCATTTAGATCTAAAGGAAGCAACTGAACATCATGATTCACCAGAGCCTGAAATAGCTCCTGTAAAATATGATAAAAATGTTCCTGTTGCTGCTGCTGCTGCAGCAGCTGCAGCTGTTGTTGCCTCTTCAATGGTAGTTGCAGTAGTAAAGACTAACACTGATCCAAAACTTCAGCTTCCAGTAGCAGCGGCAGCTTCTGCCACCGCTGCAGCTGTGGTAGCAACAACTGCTGCAGTCAGTAAGCAGTATGAATTGGAGACTTCTGCTCAATCACAAGATAGTCCTGCTTCCTTTTTGGACAAATCAGAGTGTCTAAGAAATGATGGTGAAGCAGATATGGCAGTTTCTGAGCTCCAAGGAACTGGTGAACGAGAACATGACGCTTTGAGGCTTAAATCTGAGGGAGAGAGAATATCAGATAGGTCAACAGGCAATGATAGTGCAAAATCTGATATAGCACTTGATGATGTAGCAGATTGTGAGATCGCTTGGGAAGAAATCGCCTTGGGTGAGCGTATCGGACTCGGTACTAACCTAGCATTACATCCATTATATTATAAGTAATTCTATATAATGGTTGATCTTAAATCAGACCACATATATCTTTTTATTTTAAATTATCGCTATTGCAGGATCTTATGGAGAAGTATATCATGGTGACTGGCATGGAACTGTGAGTTTCTCAAAGTCTTGTGGCTACTTGAATTCTTGTTATTTTCTGTAATTTCTAAGCTTGGAACTAAAAGCATGTTTGGGAAGTGTTTATAAATGATTTGAATTATAATTACATAGAAATGAGTGGTACATAAATGGGTAGTACTTGTGGATTTCTCGAAATGTGTGAATAAAAATGGCTTGAGTGTGTATAAACAGTTTATAAACATGAACTAAATATAGGCTAAAATACTTTAACTACTAGACCAGGAAGTAAAAATATATAACTTTAGAAGACTGAATGATATATGACCACGAACACTATGTTGTTAAATTTAATGCTTGTACAAAATTGGAATATCTACTGAAGTCTAAACAGTTACCTTTTTAGTTCTTCTTAATGCATAAAAAAAATTCATAATGTCTGATAATTTTCATGAATTTACAAGTTAGAATATTTTTCAGAGTCCTGAAAAATGTTTCTATTCTTATTCTTTTGACAGAGATTGGTGATTTGAGTTGGTGTTATTATAAAATATGATTTAAGTTGTTTTCTGCATATTGAATGGCACACTCGGCAAAAAGCATAACTTGTTAGAGAGAATAACAAGTATTTATTGTCAAAATAATGATTTTCGTATATAAATTCCATTGAACAGATTACAAGCTATATAGACACGGAGGGATTTTAGGAAGCTATTTTTAGTCTGTACAATATCTACAGCTAAAATCATGGTAAATCCTTGAATATAGGGATTGCTACAGCTAAGGTTTCTATAACTTGTTATTCTAATTACTCACTACAACACGCCCCCTCAAGTAGATGCGTAGATATCTCTAATGCCCAACTTGTCAAGTGAGTCGTAGAAGTTTTGATGTAGTATATCACAACTACAATTGATAGTTTCACTTTATTTAGGAATTTGTCTTTTTTAAATTATCTTTTCTAATTTCTATTTCTAGTTGTAATAGGTTTATTCTTAAATCTTGTTTATATTAGGATTAGTTAATTTCCTTTTAGAATTTAATTTCCTTATTTTAGTTTACTTATAA